GTTAGTACCGTTATCACTATGGATTGTTGAGCACTTTCCTCTTCGTGACATGAAACGTCGTAATGATGCCAAAAATGCTCCACTCGTTAACCCGACGACCGGTTCTAGGTGAATGGCCCTTGTGGAGAGACATATGAAGACTGCAATCCATGCCTTTATTCCTGTTTGCCTCCGTATTCCACTTCTTATCATTAAAGGCCCGGCGAAGTCTACACCGCTGACAGCAAATGGTCTAGTAGGGATTACGCGTTGTTTTGGTAACGGAGCCATTAGAGGAGATACAAATCTTGGTCTTGCTCGAACACAGGTCACACAGCGTTTCGTGACAGACCGAGCCATGCTTCTACCTCTGATTGGCCAATATCTTTGTCTAATCTCTGCTAGTAATGCTTGAGGCCCGCAGTGAAAAAGTGTCTGGTGAGTGTCTTCGAAAATTAGCCTGGTAATTTTGTGGGTTGCAGGTAACACAATAGGATGCTTTTGATTTTCTGCAATTTGGGCGTTGGCCAGCCGTCCTCCAACTAGTATTAAGTTTTCACTTTGGAGCATCGGATGTAGTCCCTTTAATTTACTACGCCCTGATACTTCCTTGTTTTTGCTCAGTGAGATATATTCTTCATTGAATTCTTGCAACTGTGCTTGCCTTATTAAACCAGTTTCGGCTTTCTTTAAATACGATACACTTAAATACCTTGTTGTAATACCGATCTGCCTTGTTCTTCGGAAATCTATAAACTTAAGAAACCAGGCAACGGCTCTCACTAGTCGACGCCAACTTGAGTAGTGTTCGATTAATCCCATTGACTGATCCATCGTGGTGAGTGCGAGCTTAACCACTCGTCTTTCTGGCAATGTTTCTTCGTCTGGTAGTGTGGTGACTGAATGCTCCCAACCATCATTGCTGTGGCTCAACCACTGTGGTCCATTCCACCATAACTCAGAGACTTTTAGCTCTTGTGCCAATACTCCTCTGGATAGTATGTCAGCTGGGTTGTCTGCAGTCCCTACATGCTTCCATTGTTGTGCATTAGTCAGCTCGAGTATTTGATCTACGCGATTCGCGACGTAGGTTTTAAATCTAGTTGCTTCACTTTGGATCCAACCCAATGCCACCGTGGAATCTGTCCAGAGGTGAAAATCCTTGACATCTAATTCCCATGCTGCTGCTACTTTTTCTGCCAACTGTGCTAACACCAGAGCGCCTCCAAGTTCTAAACGCGGTATTGTAGCTCCCTTGACTGGTGCTACTCTTGATTTTGAACATAATAGCCGTGAACACCACTGCTCATTCTGATCTTTACTTCGCACATAGATGCATGCACCATAAGCTTCTTCAGAAGCGTCACAAAACCCATGCACCTCAATATGATCGCTCATGACTGGCTTGCATTTCCTAGGAATCGTTAACGCTCCGAGTTCCTCGAACTGTTTGTAGAATCGGAGCCACTTCTCTCTTATTTCGTCCGGAATTGGTTGGTCCCAATCTATCTTTATTTGCCACAGTTGTTGCAGGAATATTTTACCTTTAGTGAGTACAGGTGTCAAAAAACCAAGAGGATCAAAAATCCTGTTAAGATCAGATAACAATATTCTTTTTGTACATCTTGGACTTTTAGCTGGCATTATAGCTTGATATCCAAGCACATCCTGCGTTGGCTTCCAACATAAACCAAGAGATTTTACTATCTCATCTGCTTCTATTTTGATTATGAATAATGGCTCATTTTCGGCTGCTTCTACGCTTTTGAGTATCTCGGCTGAATTAGAGCACCATTTTCTGAGCGGTAGTTTGGCTGACTCGAAAACCATGCTGATTTGCGACTGTAACATCTTGCATTCATCTATAGTCTCAGCTCCAGTCATAAGGTCGTCCATATAAAAGTCTCTACGTATTGCCTTCGCTGCCTTAGGAAATCTTAGCTTTTCTGCTTCAGCCAGCGATGCGAGACACTGAGTCGCCATAAAGGCTGCTGAAGTAGTACCATAAGTGACTGTTGCTAGTCTATAGATGCGAAGTACCTCGCTTGGTCTCTCCCGCCATACTATACGCTGCAAGTCTTGATCTTCCTTGGAAACTCCCACTTGCCGAAACATCTTCTCTACATCAGCAGTTATAACATACTGATGCGTTCGAAACCGTATCAATATGCTGAATAGCTCTTCTTGTACTGTGGGCCCACACATAAGGACATCATTAAGCGAGACTCCAGTTGAGCTTTTGGCCGACCCATCAAAAACTACTCGTAACTTCGTTGTTAAACTTGACAACTTTACAACTGGGTGGTGAGGTAAATAAAAAAGGTTATTGGTTACCGGTTCACTGTTGTTTACCTCGTGCATATGACCTGCGCTTTCATACTCCTTCATAAAGCTGACATATGCTTCTCTCAAGGATTCATCCTGCTGTAGTCTACGTTCCACGCTTAAAAACCTTGATGTTGCCATCCTCAGAGAATCTCCTAAATTCGTAACTTCGGCTTTTAATGGTAACCGTAGCACGAATCTACCATCTTGGTCGCGTTTTGCAGTTTCTTGAAAGTGTCTTGCTGCTTCCCTTTCTTCCAGACTCCTTTTGTTCGCTTTAGACAAATCATTGGAATTAACGTCTTTGCTGTTTTCTATGGCAATCCATCCATCTTCTAGTGACTGGCCGACAGATTTAACGTTTAACAGACATATTGCTCCAACCTCTCCGGTAATGACCCAACCAAATTTGGTATCTTGCAAACACAGCGAGCCTGTGCCCAAACGAATACGCCTAGTTTCCAGTATGTCGAAAAAGACGCCACCGCCTATCAGCATGTCTATCGGTCCTGATGAATGAAACAATGGATCAGCCAGCTGTGAATTTAATTCCTTTGGTATATTCCAATCGGCTTTACCGCTCGCATGAGGGGAAAGGTCATCTACAATGGTAGGTAGAACGTGACAAACTAGAGCAACTTGAAATTCCTTTATTCTGGACAATACATCTATGGTAACGCACGCAGATGAATGAATCCGGTTAGCTCCTATTCCAGTTACTGGTAGTTCAACTTTCTCGCGAGCAAGATTTAATAGCTTGGCCATTTTCCTCGAGACAAAGTTTATTTGCGACCCGCTATCCAATACTACTCGACATGGTCTTTTTTCCCCATAACGGTCCAGCACTGAGACTATAGCGGTTGCTAGGAAGACATGATTAACTCTTTGAGCTGCACAAAACACCTTCGCGCTTGGATTGTCTACCTTTTCAATGGTAGCTTCTTCATTCACAGTGGCTTGAGGTTCTTGCTTTTCGTAGTGTAGTAGCGTATTGTGTCTACCATTACACACGCGGCAGCTGTACTTTGACTTGCACGCATCCGCCATATGCATGTTTGAAAAGCAGTTGAAGCACAACTTTACCTCTCGAACCTTCTGTACACGGCTTCCCACTGGCATTTCTTTGAATTTGCTACATGCGTATATCCGATGTTCGCCTGCACAGCATTCACACTTCACGTTATGATTAGCCGTGTAAAGAGCCTTTCTAGGGTGATTATGAGCGTTGCTTTTTAAATAGGAACTCTTGGTTTCTGGTTTACGTTTTTCTTCATCGCTGTTGTTCCGGAGTGTTTCCGAACTCTCCAATGCAACACAACGGCTTGACAGAAATTGCTGCAGATCACTGTATTTCGGTAACTCTGTGTTGGTTCTTCGCACTTGCCATTCATGACTGGTTGCATGGTCAAGTTTTCTCAAGATAATTGTTATAAGCCATGCATCCCAGCTGTTGACTGGTTGGCCTAGTGCTTCAAGTGCTGCGACGTGTGCGGACATGCTTGAATAAAGGCTCTGCAATTCCTTTGCCTGGCAGGCCTCCACCCGTGGCGCATCAAGCATCGCGCGAATGTGAGATTGGATCACCAAACTTTTGTTGTCGTATCGTTCTTGTAGCTTTTTTATTGCCACATTATAATTAGCATCGGTAATAGGTATGCCCTTAATAATGTCTAATGCTTGTCCCTTCAGAGATGATCTGAGAAATGAGAACTTCTGGGCCGAAGGATATCCATCATCGTAGTGCAACATTGCCTTATAATAGTCAAAGAAAGACTCCCATTCTAGTATGTCACCTTCGAAACTTGGTAGTGATATCGGAGCAAGTCTAGCTCTTTGATTATGCACAGTGGAACTTGTTGATACATTATGCATCATCGATGATGTATCTCGTTTCTCTGAATTAATGATTTCTTGCATTTCTGACCGGATGGCAAAATACTCACTCTCAAAAGATGCTCTTTCACGATTAGCGTTTTCCTCATCATCACAATTTAAAAGTTCAATTTCACATTGGATTTCATCAAAATTTTTGTTTATATTAGGTAGTTCTTCTTGCCTGAATTCTAATAGCGTAATAGCATCCTCCCTCGGATTGAATTTGGTAATAAATGTACGAATACGTGTTAAAGACGCCTTTATTACCCCTCTCTTCCTAATCAGGTCACCTAACACCTTCTTCTGGGATTCGTCCATAGCTATTTCAATTATACGTTAGATAATTAGTTTTGGCTATGCCTGAGATAACCACGACTCACGGCAGTATTTTGTTATGAGGTTTGCCCAAAGGCTTGTGATCAGACTAGCAATACTAACAGACACAAATCAACAAATCGCTAGTGTATATAACGATATCTGAGACGAAATCGATGATAGTACGCGCTGCCGAATAAGTGATAATAACAAGAGGCCCTTCTTTATAAATATCACTAATATTGGTCAAGAAAATATAATATGATAAAAAATAATATAACGATTTTAATAAAAGTATAGGTACTGCACGACAAGCTGATTAGAACTTGCAATCAAATAATAATAATGATGTACCGTAAATTAATATTAATATCACGTCGAGGTCACCAAATGTTTGGGCCGAGACCGAAACAACGATAGTTCGTGTGCCCGGCACCTTTTTTTTTTTTTTTTTTTTTTTTCAATAAAATACGTTTCTGTTTAGTTCTATTGATTGTTTCTCCTTGTTATTTTTGGTTATCCCTTTCATCCCGGAAGAATAAAAGCCCGTCTGTGTCACTTTCTATGTTAGGTATAATGATCCATCCTAATTCCACCCCTATCCACTTGCTTCTGGCCTCTACTGATGACTTCATGCTTAGACGCAATAGTCTAATCACTGCACTTGCTTTGCTAGAATCCACCATCTTTCCCAATTTCTTGACTACACAATTCCCTCCGTCAGAGTAATTGATAGTTGTCTTAGTCTTTAAAAGCTTGTTACTGGTGTTGAGGATCTTAGAGTATGAGGTGGCTCGTGTGTTCATACTCCTCAATATTCCCTTGTACAATTCAATATCCTCTGATACCAAAGATGAGAAGAGACCTATTCCAAATAAAACACTGTAGACATTAGACACTCGACTGAATGTTGGTATAATATCCGATAGATGAGATCTGGGGACCTTCCAATGTTCTCTGAGCCCCATCTTCTTCAAACCTCTTACAGCCTGGTTTATTGATGAAGGAGACTCTGGCTTCAGAAGTGCGCTTGCCAGTATTGATCGATCCTTGTAACTAAGACCGATGTTCTGTAGAATCTCTTCCAACTCCAACTGAGGGTTGGGGAAGAACCTAGGATCAATTCCTGTTTCCATTCTGAGACCGAAAATCAATAATGCCCTTTCAAGCTCACCCTCTGCATTTGACCACTTATCATTAAAGGATTGGTCCAATGTCTCCAGTGAGAAACGAGACACGTACAAGTTATCAGATGCCCCCATTGAACCACACATCAATATGTAGATCTCACTGGTATGCGAAGAAGACATGGTTGCTCTTACGAAGAATCTTGATTTGAAATAGGATAACAACCTATCAAATAATGGTTCATTAAGGAAGGTGTATACATGGGTCTTAAATATAACATTCTCTATCATCCCTTTTACTGATGAGTGCGAAATCAAATGAGTAAGTATCTTGCCCATTATTTCAGGGCTATAAGGTTCAGTGTCACTAATCAGCAGATCAATCTTATAATTCAGCAGTCCTAGGATGTAAGCCCATGTGTCAAAATCTTGCAGGTCCGATGGGTGCTTCCAGAAATCAACAAGATTAATACATCTACTTTTCATGTCAACGGGCAGACATGTTATTGCAAAGGGGTCCTGCGGTTCAATCCCGTTGGGAATTTCTTCTCTCTCTGACAAAAGACTATTGAACGCAACCACAGCCTTTGGGAACATTCTGAGACATGCAGATCCCATCCCCCCGGATCCGTCTCCGACGCATGCTATTGAGACCGGTTCTTGAAACAATCCCCTTGTCACCTATATTATGTAGAATTTTTTGAAGGGTGTGCAACTGCACAGTGTAAATGCTACAGTAATATAACGTTTAACATGATATTAGTGCTGATTTAACCACACCGGAATACTAATTTTACTCATTGTAATATTTTAGACATGGCATGATAATAGATTAGTCACAAAAACAAAAGCAGCAGCCATTAAAAGGCATATAGGAGGTACAGGCGGTGGACCATTATGTTCAATCGAACTCAATGAGATCCAGCAAGACACACTGTCATTAATTTGTCCAGTATCAGTGAGTGGTCATGTGAATTCAACGGAATCTAATATTGAATTTGTTTTTGATGTTCCTAATGATGTGACAGTTGGTAAATCTACAATATATCAATTTTAATAAATAGTGGCGAATAAATAAATATCTTTCTTTTTTTTAGATACAAATGAACATGAACTTATTGAAGAATTTGATGAATCATATGGTAGTTATAACATAAGATTAATTAAATATTGTATAGTTATCCAGTGACACCATTTGAGTTTTTGAATAGTTGTGCCAAAATTTAAGCAGGCCAATTCTTCGCTACTTTTTTTCTTCATTGGGCCACTTTTTCTTCATAATATTAAATACATAATATTATATCTTTTGTGTGTAAGACACTGATACGTACCCATAAACTATTATACCTACCAATGGAAAAAAGCATATGCATCATCATCATTCATCATGCATACCAATAATACACATCTACAAATAATAAATAATAATATATTTTACCTAGTTTACCTCCATACACAATAATCATATATTATCTATATATATATATATATAAATGATGTTTGTCCTTTATGCATTCCTAAGAGTCTGGACCGATTTTGAAGACATTTGGTACAGGGATAGTAATATATATCATAAATATATAGATAGATAATATATATTTTTTAAGAGTTGTCATTTTTTACGGGCAACGAAGTGCGCGGGATCAGCTAGTACATTTATATTCTATAATATGCATTATAATATTCATAACAAATAACAAATAATATGTTTTAACTTTTAGGCATAGGCTATCGACTATCGGCATAATTGTAAATTTTACATGCTTTATTAAACGGTGGTTAAAAATGGTTTCAATTTTAAATATTTGTGAAAAAATTGACTATTTTAGTTTTCATTTAATAATGTTTGTGTTACAAAGTAATTTTCTAATTTTTGAAAAACATTACTTGGTTATTTTTGATTTATATTATGTTTAGAGAAATATTCATATAAGTTAATTATGTACTTATATTAAACATATGTAAAAATTAAAAAAATCCTTGTTACTTAAAGAATTTAATTCAATGTATAGGTGATAACATATGTACATAGGTAGGTACCAATATGGGTAATAATTTGCTTTTCTCTGTTATATTATAGCAGTTGATGATTACCTAGAAGATTGTCCATAACCATCAAGCATTGCTGCAAAATCAGGTAATATTTCATCCATCCATCATTATACACACATATGTCTATGCATCACCTACATACAGTTGTATATTGTAGGTTCAAAAAAAAAAACTAGCACTATGTTAAATGACAGTACTGAAGCTGCGTTCGATTGGGCGATATAGCAGAAAGAAAGTTAGACATAGCGGAACAAAAGTTGGCTATGAAAAGTGCATACTATGATAAAAAAAATTATACTAAAGGAAGAAAATAATGTGTTATTAAGAACATTGATATCTATATTAAATGAAAAATTACCAAGTACTTAAGTATTCATTGTATAAGAAAAAAATTTATATGTTTCTGTTTGATTATAAATTATTTTATCAACATATTGTACTTCCATATATTTTATAATAAAAAAGGTTGTATTATGTTCCTGTTTGATTATAAATTATTTTATCAACATTTATTATTTATTTTTTATATATTGTACTTTTATACGTATAAGAAAAAAGGTTAGACTAGTTTTTTATTTTTTTTAATAACAAATAATATTTTCGTATAACACTAATTGTATACAATTTTAAATTAAAATATACTAATCCATTTAATATCACAATTATTTATTATACATTATTTCTGTTAAATAAATATCCAACAATTTTGTCCCTCTGCTGTCTTCCAAGAGTTAGATTTGTATTGCGATTGTTATCAGCTAATAATACTTGGTAGTCCATCATTCCCAAATCACCAATTTCTTCAATATCATCAACGTCATGCATAGGAACATTGTTTTTAATACACATATTATGCAACACACGTTTTAAATGGAACTCAATAGTTTTTCGAGACTAGATGTGTTTGGAACGTTAATTATATGAAAAAAAATAATAAAAATTAAAATCCATATGTCTGATTTAATTGTTCATAGCCTGAACCTGCAGTGGACCACGGAAATGTACCATCCTGTTCGAACAACCCTCATGGCATAATGGAAAATTGGGTTACTAATACAAAAGATAACATCTATCAACATATAAAGTAAATGTTGTTTTTTTTCTTTTTTGCAGCAGCCAACAGTTGGTATTCCAGTTTTAGCTACATCAAGAGGAGAACCTTACCTAGCTGGTATAGTAGCCAGTGTTGAAGGGGAAGTGGTGACAGTACAATTTCCAGGGAAAGGATCATACGTATACGAAAAAAAAGATATTATACCTTTTCGATCACAATTTGAAAATGGGATATTCAAACCAATAAAATTAGTACCTAAACTACAAAGACAATATATAAGGAAAAAAATTTTAATCTATGAAAATGCAATAAAAATACAATAAAAATGTGTAACCAATCAGCTGTGTGAATCGACATTTGATTCGTTAATAATACTCCCTTTGAAAAAAAATAACACAATAACACAATATTCATCTAATAAAGTATTTTAATATATAATGTTTTTTTTTTTTTTTAATTATTATTATATATTATTATTATATTATTATATATTATTATTATTATTATTATTATTATTATTATTATTATTATTATTATTATTATATTATTATTATTTATTATATATTATATACATGGTTATGTTAATGATGTCAGTGGAATAGGAATACAAGCTTTAAAAAAGCGCTTATGTGCAACACCTCAAGTGTAAAAGAAAAATAATATATGAGGAAAAAGGTTAATGATTAATCAAGTGCCATTAGTCATTATTGAAACTTTATTAATATAAACTTACATATCTAACTGACATATCCTTCATTTTGGTCTTGGGTGATTCTGAAAAAGACATAATTGCTTAAAATGTTAAGTGTCATTATAATGTTCTAATGAGGTTTCAATATTTTACCATTTTCGTTCGGTGTTTTGAAAGCATTGATGGCACGGCAAATGAAGCTTTGCATTCACAATGGAAAGGTTTTTTGTCTGTATGCATCCGCAGATCGTGATATCTTAATTGTCTAATATCAGCGTATACATTTTGACATTTCGGGCATTGAACCGGGTCAGAATTATGTATCGACTTTTGGTGTGCTCTGAGATTTCTCCTATCGCTAAAATCCTTATCGCAAGTGATGCATTTGTAAACTCCACCACCAACATGACGAGACATATGCTCTCCTAATGTATCTTTTCTTTTATACACTTTGGGACAGTAGGAGCACCGGAAGCTGGATGGGTCGTGGGTTGAAAGGTGCCGATTAAACCAACTTTTAAATCGAAACATTATTTTACATTTTTCACACTCATATTTAAGTATGTTATCATCATCTGTGGTACCATCTAGTGTAAAATGAAAAAAAATAAAGTCAGGTATGGTTTATAAAATATGTGAAACAAATCAAAGTGTTACCTTCACTGTCGGAGGTGTAATCATCATCATAGTCAGTGTCATTACTCATTGTCTGTTTTTCAATCTGGACTTGGTCACCATCCATACACTCTACTGTAATATAAAAATATTATGTAAAAATATAGTCATAAATTTATTTTAAATAATGCTAGAAGTTAAAGTATTGAAATTAATATGTGAAATGTACAGTAACACATTCTGTGAGCAACAGACTGAGGATTTTGTATGCCATGGTATGTACCTAGGTGTATTATTAAAAAAGCCCAGCTCTTGAAATTAAGCCTGCATAAATTGCACAAATGTTTAGAAGCCATGTGTTAACAAAAAACTTAATAACTGCATGTAACAATGAACAACGGTTATATTGTAAAAAAAAAGTGATGTTGATTTTCTATAAGAGCATGGTTGATAGTGGCAGAAATTAACATGATAGAAAGTAAAATGTATAAAAAAAAAAAAAACAGCAGTGTCACCTTGTGTGACTTGAGACTCGAGCACTGTAGGTGGTGCCACATCAGATATTGCTTTTGTATCATATTCAACATTAACATTATCTGTGTTACTCATTGATGTGTGGTTTTCAATCTGGACTTGGTCACCATCCATACACTCTACTGTAATATAAAAATATTATGTAAAAATATAGTCATAAATTTATTTTAAATAATGCTAGAAGTTAAAGTGTTGAAATTAATATGTGAAATGTACACTAACACATTCTGTGAGCAACAGACTGAGGATTTTGTATGCCATGGTATGTACCGAGGTGTATTATTAAAAAAGCCCGGCTCTTGAAATTAAGCCTGCATAAATTGCACAAATATTTAGAAGCCATGTGTTAACAAAAAACTTCATAACTGCATGTCACAATGAACAACGGTTATATTGTAAAAAAAAAAGTGATGTTGATTTTCTATAAGAGCATGGTTGATAGTGGCAGAAATTAACATGATAGAAAGTAAAATGTATAAAAAAAAAAAAAACAGCAGTGTTACCTTGTGTGACTTGAGACTCGAGCACTGTAGGTGGTGCCACATCAGATATTGCTTTTGTATCATATTCAACATTAACATTATCTGTGTTACTCATTGATGTGTGGTTTTCAATTTGGACTTGGTCACCATCCATATACTCTACTGTAATATAAAAATATTATGTAAAAAT